GACCTTCCGCTGACTGACTGTGGACTTACCGCTATCCTACCGACGTTGTACTGCAGTTGCACTGCGGTTTAGTCCACCACTTGCCTCTCCACTTGACCACTTGCCCACTTGCCTACCTTCTAGAAGGTCTACAGCTAAGCTTCCGGAACTCACTAAGACTCCTACGCTATAGACCTACAGATCGAACCCCTGCTGTCTATGGACCTACGACAGGTCTACCAACTGCCTACGAATACACAGGTCACAGGTTCAGTTCTCGGGGTCTACACGGATACTGTACATGGGTAGGGTGAGGTCTAGGGATCGAACCCTCGGTACTGCATCCGCTACTGCTAAAAGGTGAAAACCGTTTCACTCCCGCCGTCCTAAATTCGAGGTCCTCCGATAAAATTTTAGTCCAAGGCGGGACTTTTACCTTTCTTGTCACACTCATAGGCCCTGACTATGTCGGGAGCGGTCTCTAGAAGTTCTGCTTTCGTGAACCAGCGGTCGTCTTCCGGTTCCTGATAAGCAAAACCGGACCTTATACTGTTTCTGGGGACGACCTCTACCTCCTGTCCTAAACACATCCTCTTCTACAATGCCCTCTATGTCATAGCTTCCATTCATATCCGGTGGAATCATGGATCTCCTGGAAGGGAACTGTTGACTAGTGACACATGGCAGCGGCTTTGAAGCATGAAACACAGGGTATGTGTGGAGGTGTGCTGGAATCTCAATGCTGTAGGACGGTCCATCCTCTCCGCCCTTAACTTCTAGAACCGGCCACGGTCCTATATATGCGGGCAGTAACTTCTGTGAGATGTTTTCTTCCAGTGCAAATTCTTTTGCCTTGACCCAGACTAAGTCGCCTATTCGAAACTGTGATGGGCGACGGTGCTTGTTAGCCTGCTCTATCATTCTGTGCTGGGCCTTCYGTAGGTTCTCAACAACAGTGGCTAATTCCTTTTTGTGCTGTATCGCAAACTCCCTGGTACCGGGCGGTGATCTGTGAATCTGATCCCGGTTCAGTCCTTCGAACGGTCTGCGCAGTCTAAAGGACTTGTGCAGTTCATTGGGAGTGCGGCAGGTGGATAGGTGCACGCTGTTGTTGTATGCACTAGCGACCTTGGGCAACATCTCATCCCAGTTGATCTGATCTGGTCTAATGTACATGCGCAGAACTTGCTGTAGGATCTTGTTCATTTGTTCTGTCTGACCGTTAGTCTCTGGGTGACGGCCAGACGACATTAACAACTTAGATCCGTAGACTCTCATGAGTTCTTGCCAGTTCTGGCTGGT